TTTAGAAATTTTTGCGGATGTTTTTATTTTGTATATAGAAAAAAAAATAAATGAGTGCGCCATGATGTTGGTATTTTAAGGACTACCCTGGAGTATAGGGTTGCGCTCACTGAGTACCATAAACTTATCATTCGCTCTAAGAGAGAGTCCACTACACAAAAACTTCCCATATGACTCAATTTTTGTCAGGAACAAGAAACGATAGGCGATAATGTTTTTAAAGCTTTCAAAATTTCAGGTGATTTTGGTATCTTTCCAGCACTATTACAAGAAGAAATAAGGATTTCTGATCTTTCTATTCAGGCACAATTACTGCTTGAAGTACATACTTTCTTTTTGTTGGAACCAACAACACTCAGACTATATGCGACCATTTTACGCTCCCTTTTAATCGGTTTTAAATCTGCACGATTTACGAATACACCTTAGCAGGTTCGGTGTCAAAGAGCTCAGGTGTTCGTCTCTTATGTCTCTTACCTAATTCTTGAAAGGACGTGTCAGAAGCACAAAAAGTGTTCCACCGTCTCATCCTCTTCAAGGCAGGATGGTCCAACAAATTGTCTGCAGTCCCGTCGCGTCAGTGATTGCTGAGCGAAGTATTCACCCAGTTTCTGGTGATGACTTCGATGGCAGAAGTGGGAAGTGTCCTAACTGGTTGCGAACCGAGGAATGCCTGGATATTACCAAGTACTCCCGAGTGACCTGGCAGCCAGAATAGAGCCAGCTCGTTATGTTTGTCAACATAATTTAGTCGAAACGTGCATTGCCGAACTAATTTGGAAGTAGTTAGAGGGCTGGCCAATGCCTTAAGTGCAGCTTGGCTGTCACAACAGACACGTAAACTCCTTGGCCTCAACCTATTTTTCACCACGTAGTCCATGACCTGGAGGATTGCAAGCACCTCAGCCTGGAAGGCCGAAGCATACTCGCCAAGAGAAAAGTGAAGCTTATTCCCATTAACTTCGATAAAGACCCCATATCCTGACCCAGAGTCAGTTTTGGAGCCATCAGTGGAGATTCGAGATTGTGTGAGTCCGGGCTCAGTTAAATACATACATACATGCTTGCTTGAAAGAAGCTAGTCGTGTTATTTAAGTAGTTCTAAGTCAGGCAACAGTTCCCTTGACTTATCCCTTCATTCTCACAAGCTAGTAGACCTTTATCTTATGAAAAGATTGGGTTCGGCTTCCTTGCAGCCTACTTAATTTGCTTATATCAAAGGGAAATCTAGGGATTCGGTCCAATGATAGATTTTTAGTAAAATCGAAAGCGCTTTCGAGAGTAAAGATCTTGCTCTGTGCAGCGTGAAATTGCATCGTATTTGACACTAGAACCCTAAGGGTCAACAAAATAACTGGTCATATACTACATATACATACATACATAGCGGCTGTATTGGCTAGAATAACTGAAGTGAAAAATCTAATTCTTCGTGCTCAGAACAAAAGAAAAGTGTGTAAAAACGAATGGACGAAAATGGTCTTACAGATACGGCCATATTAATTTGTCTGGTAGAAAAGTGTTTTTTTTTTATCAACGAATAGAAAAGATCTGAGCAACAAGAGCGCAGGGAAAAGTTGCGCAAATACTTACAGACGGTAGTGCTAACGCAAATATTAAAAACAATTCAACCGATTTGGATTTTACTTAAATACTTTTATTAAATGCCATTTAATACAAAAATTTAGAAGACTTATTAAACGTTTTTTAAATGCATTGTAAAATTGCAAGTGTTAAATGATAAAAAAAATTAAATAACTTACATTAAGGACACTTTAAATGTATGTTTTACAAAAATAACACAATACATATAGTAAACAAAATTTCATTTTCTTTTAACGTTCCAACTTCAACTGGTCATCACTTTTGGATTGGACCTCTATATTACTCCGCAGCTAATTTATGAAGCAGCTGCGTCATCTCTGCC